TTCAGTTGAGCCGCTGTGCTGCGCCAGAGCGCGGAGTAGTCCACCATCTGCGGGTACAGTTGACAGGGCCCACTTTGGCCGCGATGCATGTCGCCAGGAGCGTCCACTCCGGTCCCGCTGATTGGATGCCGCTGGGGGGTGCTGCCGCCAGGATGCGACTTCAGAGGTGGATACGGCTGCTGTATAGACGGTTGGAGTGTCAGCCGGCGCTGAGATGAGTGAAGACTAGGGCCTGAACGTTCAGCTATCTCCTGACTCCTTTGAACTGCTGCTAAATGCGTGGGGCTGGGGCCGTATCCCTTTAAAGAACATAAACCGCTGGAAACTAGTTTCATTCGAAAACACGCGATACACGGGAAACTGTGATGAAGAAACAGGGCACGCGAGTAATTGACGATAATATTAAAAAGAAAGGGACCAGTCGGGAAATATGCGCAGGCTGATTGCTATTGAAGAAAAGTGATAACCACTGGTAATTCTTTTCGGGCAATTTATGAGAATATTGAATCGCAATATGTGAAATTCGTCTCTCCCCCCCACTCCAACAGCAGCATAGGTTTGCATTGTGGTAATTCATAATTGGTGACAACAGTAACGGACATCGTATATCCAGAAGGGCAGACGGTCAACGGACCAGGCATGTTTGTTAACCGACTCTGAAGCATCAGCTTCGACCACTCACTTCTCCAGACTGAAGATTTTTTTCACAGCTTGTGTTTACAGACATCCCCCCCTGGCTAATGGCACAACCCACTGGGCCTACTATGTGCTCCACGTAGCAGATGACAGACGATGGCTTAACGTCACATCTGCCACTGCACCCCCGGTAGATTTGCCTCGGACAGGTCACTGGCAAAGAAGAAAAAATAGGGTCACTGGAGTTCGGAGTAGGCGATCGGCTTCCTTCCTACAGCACAAACACGTTGTGGTTTGGAGGGGACTAATCAACAAGCCAGCTCCCCCAGTCCTACCCAGTCCTGAGGTTCAGTTTTCAATAATTCATTTTTCTGCATTTTTGTGACATTTTCACTTATAGAGGATGCAGAACT